CCCTACACTATGTGTATTTTGTAGAGTTGTGCAGAAAAACACTGTCCTAAATACTCCCATTTAAGGTATTGTTAATACTAAATATCTCTATGCTGTAAATAAATCTCATGTCTTTTGAAGTCTGCTTTCTACTGTCGTTAAACAGAGCCTAATTAAATCAAATTGTAATATATAATGCAACCGTTAGCTTTCACTTGATCTTTGCTTGTAATTTAAAAAAATATTTAATTTCTGACATGATTTCAGTGGTATTTGCTGTGAATAGTTGCTACTGACTGTACATTTCTCCTTAAAATATCTATTGAGAGAGGAGTAAAATTGAATAAAATATCTTCATGAGGAATACTGAAACCTGTGCTTCCGTCAAGGACAATGTAAGAAGTGTTTTTCCCATGACTTATATTCATGGCTCACAAGGTAAAATGAAGCAAAAGAAGTCAAACAGGAACCTGTGCATTGTGAGGACCATCTTGTGAATATGAAAAGTGATTTGAGAAGACAATGTAGATCGTGATAAATATGTATATGAACATTTAAGGAAAGGGATGGAAGAAAGGAAAAAGAAAGCAGGCCTTAAATGTTTTTCCCCACTTCTTATCTTGCTTTCCTTTAACTGAGGAATGCAGCCATGTGAATGGGAGGAGGAATTGGACTTGGAATCTCAGGAAAGGCTGCTCCATGGAAACTGTTTGGAAACAATGGGTTTCCAGGCAGTACTGGAGGAAGCAAAGAAGCAATAGTGGTTGATGTGAGCAAACCCTAGTTTTCTTTGCCCTGTGTGTTCTTCCCATGAGGAACTGATTACACGTTGCAAGGTGATGATCTGCATAGACAGGGAACCTCTTTCTACAACATAAGTAAGGAGAACAAGAAGGAAAACAAGGTGTTTCCTGAAGTGAGCCCTCCAGCTATTGAGGTTTTTAGATTGGATAATATTACTAAAACCCAAAGGTTTTGAGATTTGTTCTGTGTTTATAAATCTGTACCAAATAAACCTCATTTCTAGTGAGTCTTTCCACTTAGCCTATTACTCTTGAAAGGCCTCTTTTTCATGGGTCAGAAAAAGAACAGAGCCTCATGCTCCACTCCTCTTCAAAAAAGCCATTTGGACAAGAAGCTTTGAAGACTCGATGGCAGACCAAAATGGGCATTCACCTCTGAGAGCTCTAAATTTTCGGTAGTCATGGGAGGGTGTGTCTGGTGCTTGGCTTGGCCCAGCTGGTGGCCCACTTTGCCCTGGGAAGCTCTGAGACTGCTCTCTGACCTGGGGATGGTAGCAGAACTGGATGTCTTTGGTGTAGGAAGAGGGAGCCTGGCTGTGCCACAGCTTTCCTGCTTGGCTGCTGCTTAGGCTGGAGAGGAACCAGTTCCTCTTGCAGACCTCAGTAACAGTGTCTTCTGCTCCATCCTCTCTGGAAGGCTGGCTCAGCTGGCAGTGAGATTTTGCTTAACTCCCAGCCAAGGTAGAAGAGGCCCCCCTGTTGCCTAGGGGAAGCTTGCTTTTCTGGTACATAGGTTCTTCCCTGCTCTCACCAGCCCACAGAGTTGTCCTGGAGGAAGCGATAACTGCCACCAGAGAAACTGGTGAGGTGGTGCTTGCTCTTGGTCACTACTTCGTGTTGCAAGAAAAATGCAGCAGTTGTTTAAGGTGGTCTGGACACCAACAGTTTTGAGGATTGCAGGTTAACACCAATATCCAAATGGTTTTATCCTATAGCCATGTGGGATCTTGTGCATGCTGTGGCCCCCAGGCAGAACTGGTTTCATGTATGGAAGTTCATTTAGGCAGCAGGACAGTTGTATTCCATGCAACTGGAAACGTGGTGGTGTTCCAGCATAGCCCGTATAGAACTGGTGTCAGGAATAAAGGCAGCCCACACCACGGATAACTGATAACTTGCGTGCCAGCCCTTGTATTTAATCAGTTATCTTTTTCTTAAAAAAAAAAAAAAAATTGCATTACCATTCCCTTACCTGTTAGCCATAGTTTCAACTGGATCTTCCTGAAGCCTCTTCAGAACTGTCCTTTTCAAGCAATGTGGATGTAAATAGGAATGTGCAAAGCTGAATATCTGAGAACTGCATGATCTGTTACTTCCTTGCTGTCTTAAACTGTTAAAAAAAAACCAACATAAAAAACCTGAAGCAGCTCAAATAAAAACAAAGCTCACATATCTCTACAGCATTTAAAAAAAAAGTACTGTGACTGGTAGTCTCTTGTAATAAACCTTTTAATTTTTGGTTGCAGGATTAAAAAGAAAAAAAAATCAAGTTGGTTATACCTGTAGATACAGCCCCAAGAAAGTGGTAGCCATTGTCAAATGGGAAGACCACTGAATGGCACTGAAATAGGAATTTCTTTTTTCCTGGAGATAGGGCAATGTAAACAAAAATTTATTAAGGTCAAAAAACATCAAATGAAAATCTATGTAAACGTAGCAAGTAAATGTAAACAGCTAATTCATCAATAATTGTAACAAGATTTTTCTTTTTTTAATAGATATGTGAATAGCAGTGTGGTGCTGTGCTTTTTTTTTTCCTAAATAAAAGGAAAATGGGACCTGTTTTATCAGAATGAATTTCACTTCTGGAATAATTTCTTGACAGCTCAGGGTCTGAAACGAAGGACAGGTTGATAAGCCATTGCAACTGGCTCTTCATTTTGACAGGAGCTGGTCTCATGCTCTTACCTACTTTTTCAGACAGAAACTAGAAAGTAACTCAGTTGGGAAGAGATAAACAACAGCTGTATGACTGATATTTTGAGATTTTGGTATGTAATATAATCAACCATGTTTCATTGACAGTTACAATATTGTCTGAAATTCCTTTCCAGTGTGTATCCATATTTTTTAAATGGAAAAACGAGTAATAAATGCAGTGGGTTGTACTGCAATGTTACTTTAAATAGTCATCTTGTAGGTACCTTAGGCATTTTTGTTGAGTTGTGAAGTTATCTACAGTGAGGAACTTAAACATGTGTGACATTTTGGGATGGAGGAGAAAGCTATCAATATATGCTTAAGAAGTTATTAAAAAGCTTTGGAAGCCTAAACTAAAATATAGCTGCTTTTTGGCTGAAATTCTGTATATGGCATTGATCTAATTTATACAGCTTGGGTTAATGAAGTGTAAACTATTAAACAAATGATATAAATGTTGCTAGGTAAATCAGATTATTGAAAAGAGAATCTGAAATTGTATTCATTACTCCCACAGGACAATGTATTTTGTGCTTAAAGCAGGGGAAAAAAAAAAAAACACCCACTTGTTCAGCCAGTGATCTCTTACCTTTTTCCAATAAATGTTTACTTGGATTTTAAACCTGGAGTAGGATTTGGACCAAGAATGCCATGTTGTTCTGGGACTAAAGTGTATTCTGTATTCTCAAACTCTGAAGACATGAAGCTGCACTATGGCGATCTCACGGACAGCACCTGCCTGGTGAAGATCATTAATGAAGTGAAACCCACCGAGATATACAACCTGGGAGCTCAGAGCCACGTCAAGGTGAGCAGCTTCTGGCACTGACAACCGTGAGTGTGAGGTGGTGGTGGGGTACTGCTGTGATCGTTTTAGACTGCAGCATTTGTCACGTTTTAGTAGCTGCTAACTTTGACAGGTACACACTGCCTTAAATCAAGATAGTTGTGCTTGCTGTGCTGCTGAATTACTGCTGAGTCTTGCTACTGAATATATATTAAGATATCGGAAGAAGTGAGTTTAAATTGTCAATATCAACAAAATCCACAGGTTTAGAAATCTGATGTTTTCTACCGTGTGAAACAGCTTTTGCTGTAGAGTTTGCTGCTGATCAGTCCCAGTGGAGAAGTTCTGCGGTGGGGTTAGGCTGAGCAGGGCTTGAAACCACATTATTTCATCTGCATTATAACCAATATGTGCATCTGACTGCGTCGCTTCCAGAAAGGCTTCGCCTATACCAGTTTTCATGCAGGTGCTATTCTTTGAAGGATCGACCTACAAATAGAGAAAACGACTTTGCTACTGCTTACAGTATTATAACGTTTCTGGTTTTTTGGTTGGAAAAATAAAGCTATAGAAACTGAAACAGAAAAGACTTGTTGAAGATGAGTAAAACGACCATGGTAAGTACTGCTTCATAAGGGAAGAATATGAATAGTAGAGCAGATAACTTTGTTTTACATATGCTACATTGGTGCATCATGGAAAAGCTCAGTTTGCCAACAGGTGAGCCGAGCTCCATTTACTTGCAAAAACTTCATTCATACTTCACTTCATGATTATAAACTGAAATTGATGGCCAAATAGCAAATTGTCATTAAAATAGATTGTCAGCCATATGCCCTGTCCTTATTTTGTACAATATGAAAGTATTCTGAAGTTGTAATATTCCCTGACCTCTCTTGAGGTGAGAACTGAAGGAGCATTTAAGCCTCATGAAAGTCAGCCTTCCTACAAAAAGCAGTGTGTTCCTCCTATCAATACCTAAGCCTTGAAATCCAGCAAGAGGAAATAATGTTGAAAAACTTCAGTTATTGATGAGACAAACAGCAGAACGCAGAGGTGAAAGGAGAATAATCTTGCTTTTGAATTGCTTGCATGATTGAATTATTCAGTTTGTTCTGTTAACCGTGAGTCTGGTTGGGTTTATTAGCTCAGGTACAGCAGTATAAAAACAAGGCTACATGAGTCCAAGGGCAGCTTTGGTCCAGAAGGCACTTTAACTGCTGCTTTGCAGAGCAAAACCTGAGCCAGCAAACCTTGTTGGGTATTTGCAGTCCACAGCTGGGTGTTCCAGCATTTCATTTCTTGAACTAGTGTATTGGATAACAATCTCCGTGGAAGTTATGTGTTGTCCTTGAGGTAGAGTTAGCATGGTACTGATGTTCTGGTCCTAAACTATCTCCATGTGGCTGCAGCAGCTGCCAACAGCTCAAGTCACAGCACTGGGAAGGTGTGAAGGGGTGGTGGTGTTGATGCTGCTGCAGGTTCTTGCATGACACTGCAATGGGCTCTGGGAAAGTTTATTCCTCAAGTATCGCACTGCATGAACATTTGGAGCCAATGCAGATCTGGCACTACACGTTGGCTTTTGGAGATCAAATGTGCATTGGGACACAGTCAGGAGACATCAAAATGGCTGTCTTTGAAGTTAGCCTGAACATAGCAGGCTGATAGTTAGATAATAAGTCCTACAGAAAGTCTAGATGGACTTCTTCTGGAGGTGCTTGTTATGCTTCCTAGCATCTCTAGTAATACTTCTGTTGTCGCAGTTGAGGAGAGAACCTAGGCACCCCAAGCCTTGACTGGGGTGATTGAAGGGCTTGACTATGGCATCAATAGGACTTAAAAGCAGTCCAACAGTGCTTACTGTTTTAAAACAAATCCCAGTGGTAGAAGAGGGAGTAGAACTTGGCCACCTGTTAAGGGTGGATGTCTTCACCAGAGACCTGAACAGGTCTTACCGTTAAACTTTGGTTAAACTTACTTTTTTTTCCGACGTGCATCATATTTAGGGAAGGAGGGAGACAGACTTCTAATCTTGGTTTGCTTCACATTCTGGTGACTATGAACCAGTGACGCTGTCAGTATTTTTGGTTGTGTTTGTGTTGGCTTGTGTTTATGCAGAATAAAGTTTTCTGTCACTCTCACTTCCAGTTAGTTTATGTGAGCCATGCTGAAATGAAGGAAAATAAAATAATAGGAAGTTGGTCTGGTTTCCTGTAGGAAGCCAATGAAGATGAAATTGGTTCTTGGAATGAACCCACAGTAGTCTGGGAAATACTGTCAGAGAAGACGTTTTTCTGAATCATAAATAGTGAGGGCTATGACTCATAAAGTAGGTCACTGGGAGGCTGAGCTGATCTTGTACATGGGAGAAAGTGAGAGGAGACTGAAACTTGTTCCTTCAGAAAAACAGTAAACTTAACAGAATGACATCAACAGTAGGAACAAATTATCCAGCCTGCATTCCTGTCTGTTTTGGTGAGAAATGGGGATTAGCTCTGTGCACCGTGGCTTCTCCGCTGGATGTTCAGAAAACAGTAGCACATTCACTGCATAGTTACTGAGTAAACAGTTTAGCCTCATTTTCTCTACCCAGTCTTTATACGTCCTGCTGCCTTCGTGGTTGGTGCTTTGCGAATCCGGTGTGTTGACCATGATTTGTTTTCATTTAATTAGGTATCATGGGAGTGATTGTTTACAGTATATTGATTCTAAATAGTCTACTATTGTGTATAGGTAGCATGCAGTTGGCTTAATCTAAATTCTGTTATCCATAACTCTCTACTCATATCTCTCTGTTGAAAGTCTTGGAAATGCATTATCCAAATGCTAGGCTGGCTACAATGATATAAATGTCTCTTCTTGCACCATATTTCAGCAGATGCATACACATAAAGTAGGTATGAACTTCTGTCTTTTGTTCTGAAGGACATGTGAGCTCATCAGTATTTGAGTGAGCTGTAAGATTTTTAGTTTTGAATTCTATTGAACTGGTGAAGCTGGTAAATGATTTTTTACAAATTTCTGAAGGAAAAAGGCGGTGTAACCTTAGCAAAAGATCTCTTGCTTTCAGCACTTGTTGCACTGAGCAGTTAAACTGAAGAAATGGCTTCATTTTTATGCCTATTGTTATCCTGGCAGTCATGTATTAAATAACATAATCTAATTTGGCTGTAGAGCAGGTAGGCACAATTGCTCAGTTTACTTTTTCAAATTGTGTTGGGTAGTAGAAGGTTATTTTGCCTACTTATTGTTGGCATTTGCTGCCAGAAATTTTCTAGCGAATATGTTTTATGAGATATGACAATAACGATTTGACTTCTCTGTCATAGCTGTTTGTTACATATGCAATATGGGCATATGTTTATATTTAAAAAATATAATGGGTTTGCAATAGCATCAGCCAACTCCTTCAGCACTCATGGAGGCATCCCACCAGGTCTTATGGTATGTGTCCTGTTGGTATAAATGTTCCCCTGATCATCTTCTGCCATGGGTAAGTTTTCGTTGTTCCAGACTTGCTCATAGGTCTCGGGGACCTCTGATTTCTTAATATCAGCCTAGCTAGTGAAGACAGAGGTGAAAAGGATGTGAGAGACCTCAGTCTTTTCAGTGTCATTTGTTACTAGGTTGCCTGCCCTGTTCAACAGCAGGCCCACATTTTCACTGATGGTCTTTTCGCTGCTGATAGACCTGTAGAAGCCCTTCTTGCTGCCCTTTAGATGCCTCACCACATTCCAGTCCAGATGAGCTTTAGTTCTCCTACCTCTATACCTGGCTATTTGAACAGTCTCTGTATTCCTCTTGGGTTGCCTGTCAGTGCTTCCACCTTTTACAAATTTCCTTTTTATGCTTGGGTCAGGAGCTCCTTATTCTCCATGCAGGCCTCCTGCCACCTTTGCTTGATTTCATACTTGTCAGGATGGACTGTTCTTGAGCTTGGAGAAGGAGATCTTTGAAAATCAGCCAGCTTTTGTGGACTTCTCTCTAGGGCTGTATCCCGTGGCACTTTACCAAGCATATCCCAGAACAGGCAAAAGTTGCTCTCTTGAAGTCCAGGATTGTGATCCTGCTTTTTTATCTTGCTCCTTTCTCTCAGGATTCGGAACTCCACCATCTCATGATGACTGCAGCTAAGGCTTACCTGGCCAATTCTTCCTTGACTGTAAGAATTCAGGATTCGGAACTCCACCATCTCATGATCACTGCAGCTAAGGCTGCCCTGACCAATTCTTCCTTGACTGTAAGAACTGGATGTTCCCCTTGTGAGCTGTTCGATCACCTGTGTCAGGAGGTTATTAATGCACTCCAGAAACCTCCTGGATTACTCGTGCCCTGCTGTTTTGTCCCTGCAGCAGACATCAGGATGGTGAAAGTCCTTCATGAGGACCAGGATCTGTAAAGATTTCTTCCAGTTATATGAAGAAAGCCTTATCTATTACTACGTCATGCTGTAAAGCCTGTTTGCGTCCCTGGATGACTCCTAGTCTGAGGAGCATGAAGCCTATGGGAAGCAGGTCGTCTTTTTCATTTTCCACCATAGTCTGTTATGGGATGCTTCTTCCTGCAGATGTAATTGTGGTTATGAACAATTGCTGGGGGGAGGTGGTGCCGTGCAACTTTATGATGAGGAGGGCAGTGTCTGGAACATGGCATGGAAGGTGGCACCCTCCTGTTTAGGACACCAGTGAATCAAACAAAAGTGTCTATTGCTGACTTTCGCCTGCAGGTTTTATCAGTGATGTTACATGACAGTCCCCTTCCCTCGTCCCCTTTCTATCCATGCAGTTATAGTTGAAAATCATGTGTGAGAGTTGCTGTGTAGGAGAGGATGGTGTCACTCTGAGTCAGTCTTGTATAAAGAAGGTACTCCTTCTGCATCCATCCAGTGAGTACTTAGCTATGAGGAAAGTCAAGGCACAAGCTTAAATAACTTCACCCAGAAGTAAGGCACAACTGAGAATGGGAGTCTCCTGACTGTTGAGCTCTGGGATCCTTTCAAGGTCTGTCCTTGTGCTGCT